TAATTCGTTGCACCTCATTAAACAATTAAATACGCACTCCCAAAGACGTACAAAATCAGTTCTTCTAAAAGCGCTCCCAAAGACGGACAGAATCAGTTCTTCTTAAAACGCACTCCCAAAGACGGACAGAATCAGTTCTTCTTAAAACACACTCCCAAAGACGGACAAAATCAGTTCTTTTTAAAACGCATTCCCAAAGACGTACAGAATCAGTTCTTTTTAAAACGCATTCCCAAAGACGTACAGAATCAGTTCTTTTTAAAACGCACTCCCAAAGACGGACAGAATCAGTTCTTTTTAAAACGCACTCCCAAAGACGGACAGAATCAGTTCTTCTTAAAACACACTCCCAAAGACGGACAAAATCAGTTCTTTTTAAAACGCACTCCCAAAGATGGACAAAATCAGTTCTTCTTAAAACGCACTCCCAAAGACGGACAAACATCAGCTTTTCTTAAACCACATTCCAAAAGACGTTCAGTACGTTAGCGGACAATACATTATGTAAGCCAATTAAAGATCAGTTCTTGTTACCTTCAATGGGTAATTTGATACTACACACTATTATTATTAGCGTGATCATCGGACTTTTATTTCCAAACAATTCTCAAGTTTTTATCCGAAAGGAAACCATAAAATCATCAGTATTAATCACCCACAATTAACAATTATTTGTTGGAATTTTTCAATGAAGTGTCCTCAGGTTTTTGATACACGAATTTGACGAATTTAATAATAACTCAGTAACAACAGTTCGCTTTCACTAGATCTTGGTTTTATATCTGTCGCCAAAGACGAAATGTCTCCAGTTTTTATACAAATAAACACTTAGCGACATTAGGATGTTTAAAGTCTTGTAAAGGTATATATAAATGTAAGTTAAATTTTTCTTTTCATGAATATCTATTTAAATCAGCCGGGGTGCTAGGCCTACTTGGAGAATGGTAGAACGTTTCCGAATGATGAATGGGTCGAGTTTCATTTCGTCTAAAGTCAATCTGGGGGAAGCAGCTCTCTGACTTAGGTCGTGGAATGGTACATTTTAAAGCTGCAGCTATGGATCGTTCGTTCTTTTGACGACAAGGTTTACCATCCTCCTGAGTGGAGTCATCACTCTCTGGAGTCTGCGCAGAACGAATAATAGCATTCACCGTCTTGAGGTCGCTCTGAAAGTCCTCTCTTTGACTGACAATGTTCGGATTTTTCCCAATTTTGTTAAGTCTTTCAGCAGCAATGGATTCCATAGTCCGCCGCATCACGGGAAATAGGTCCAGAACAGCATTGAAGTGGTCCACAGAGAGAGAGAATAAGTGGCAATACGTTTCCGCTCGGACACTGGCTACTCGACGGGTGTTTGTTAGTAGACATATTTCTGAGAAATATAAAAAAAAAGGTTTATTATGATATAGACAACTGAATGATTAAATTCTTCGCTGATTAAGTGTTATTTTCTATTACACATTAGTCTTAACATAGCTGGTTTGTATAGGTGTATAAAATCTACATATTAGGCTTAACTTATTTAGCAAGGTTTGATAATTCTTACCATTTACTTGTTATCAGTTTAGTATTCTTTAATAATTTCACATCGTGCTTTATATCTAATATCAATAAAAGTTTGTTACTCTAGGGCTATCTGTGCTAGCTGTTCCTAATTTTGAAGTGATAGACTAGAGGGAAGATAGCTAGTTAACACCACCCACCACCAAAACTTGGGTTACTCTTTACTAAAAAATATTGGCATTAACTGTTACATTATATTGCCCCCACAGTTGAAAGGGCGAGCATGTTCGGTGATGGGATTCGGATCCGCGACCTGCAGTTTCCGAGTCGACTGCCCTAAACACCAAGTAGTGTAAAAGTTGTTCCTAATTTATTTATTTTGAAGCAAAAAAACAACAAAAAAAGGCATAAAAAAACTAAATTTCCCTGATTATAATTTACAGATATGGATATATATATATATAACTTACATGTAAGGATATGGTAAAAAAAAATTGTATGACGTAATATTTCAGCAAGCATATTTTCAATGGGCCTTAATACTCATCGTTTGTTTTTGAATTTCGCGCAAAGCTACACGAGGGTTATCTGTGCTAGCCATCCTTAATTTAGCAGTGAAAGACAAGGGGGAAAGCAACTATTCATCACCACCCACCGCCAACTCTTGGGCTACTCTGTTGCCAACGAACAGTGGGATTGACCGTCACATTATAACGCCCCCACGGCTGAAAGGGCGAGCATGTTTGGTGGGACAGGGATTCGAACCCGCGACCCTCAGATTGCGAGTCGAGCGACCTAACCACGTGACCATGCCGGGCCAATAGTCATGATCAAAATCACTTAGACTGCAAATAATTTTTCTTTTCACATTCTTCTTAATCTGCCCATGTTGGACTTTACACACTTCTGATTCGATATCAGAAAAGGACAAACTATAAGAAGGATGTAAAAACAAAAACATTCAGTTTAAGTGTTTTTATCACAAATTTCCAGTACAGTTTGTTAAAAAACAAACGAATTCTCAACAGATCTCTATCCTGATGGGGATGTTTAATGTGGTGCAACGAATTACTGGGGATGTTTAATGTGGTGCAACGAATTACTGGGGATGTTTAATGTGGTGCAACGAATTACTGGGGATGTTTAATGTGGTGCCACGAATTATTGGGGATGTTTAATGTGGTGCAACGAATTATTGGGGATGTTTAATGTGGTGCAACGAATTATTGGGGATAGGGTTCCATTTTATTTACATGTGTGTTTACTTTTTCTGTTAACATTTTATGATTTCTTTCAAGTTGTAAATTTAGATTTGATGATAATAAATTTGTAATTCTCTATTTAAGGTATATTGGATTATCCCATCTGTATATTTTTTTTTGTTTTATGTACTCTGATATAATATGCAAGCTAAAATAGAAGTGATGTGACCCACCAGCAAAAATTTTTCTGAAAAAAATTGAAAAATGACTCACTTGTAAAAAAGGTTGCCGACCACTGATCTAGACGATATTTGGAAACACATCAATTTGTATATAAAATTATCGACCAATAAATATAAACCTAACCCTATCATGGTATAATCAGATAAGTATATAAAACAACAGTTGTTTTGTCTGTTCTGAATATATTAAACAAGTAACGTAATATAAAGAGTATTGGGGGGAAATTTGATTTAATACGGAGCCTGGGAGGGAAAATGGCGAAAAACTATTTATGTTGTGCACATCTTATTATTATTTCTTTCCCATGTAATTTCCAGGGCTACCTAGATCTAACGTACATTTAACGTGTGATAACAAACCAAGAAAATACACAACTTTGTGAAGTTTGTTTTTTGAATAATACGATCATATTTGTATGATAACTACTGGATAATATTTGTTCAGATTAAGGCCAGAGCTGAAGTGAAACCCATTTCACCTAAAATCCTAAAATGAGACCTACTCTAGTAAAGTCTTACGTCACCAAACCATCAATGCATTGCATTATTAAGCGGGGTGATGTACGAAGCGCTGAGATGCGTCAATAAAACAAGGTCAGTCTTGTGAAATGATGGCCAGCAATGCCTGGATATGAAACTAATGGACAAGCGCACGTGAAAAATAGAGTAAACTCATGTTATTATTATTTAACTGTAATATACGCGTAATTGCTATCAGGGCTGTCTACAGCTTCCATGGGCTTCGTGAAAGGATTGTACGTGTCTCCCCCACTCCCTATTTCCATCACATTATTTTTTATTTTTTTAGCCTTCTCCGGCATTCCCTTCCAGAAGGGCAGTGGGCTTCAATGAAATTTCCCTGACATCCCCGTCCTCTCCGTGGGCCTGATGACTTTAATCTGAGAAGCATTAGGCCTACAAGGTAAGTATTTTCTTTATTTAATTGCTAATATAACAAACTACTTTGAAGGAAATAATTGTGAACGTTAACAGTAAAACAAACAACCTACAGCAACAAGATTTATAAAAAAACTTTAGTGACATAATTTCTGTTAACACACGTGAAATTAAAGACAAAAAAAGCCTAGCTTTTCTTTGCTTGTTAAGCGCTATATACATTTGTGGTCCAGTTAATTTTGATGACCGAAAAAAAAACACATCTAGCTTTTCTTTGCTTGTTAAGCGCTATATACATTTATGGTCCAGTTAATTTTGATGACCGAAAAAAAACACATCTAGCTTTTCTTTGCTTGTTAAGCGCTATATACATTTATGGTCCAGTTAATTTTGATGACCGAAAAAAAAACACATCTAGCTTTTCTTTGCTTGTTAAGCGCTATATACATTTATGGTCCAGTTAATTTTGATGACCGAAAAAAAAAACACATCTAGCTTTTCTTTGCTTGTTAAGCGCTATATACATTTATGGTCCAGTTAATTTTGATGACCGAAAAAAAAACACATCTAGCTTTTCTTTGCTTGTTAAGCGCTATATACATTTATGGTCCAGTTAATTTTGATGACCGAAAATCATGAACTTGGTACATTTTATTGAAAGTTCAATACGTAAGAACTTTGTAAAGAAAATAAAGACGTTTTTATAAAATGAATTACAGAAGAGTCGAACTGAAAGAATAGTTTGGGTTGTACTGATATAGAAAATTATTCTAATATTATTCTATTTACTATATCATGTTTTTAATGTTCTTATTTTAGGTTTCTCTATAACAACTTCCACAAAAATGTTTGCATACAAGTATCATTGGGTCCATAATATTTACAATTGGGCCAATCAGACTAGATAGAGCAAGATTATTGTACTTACAATTCACTACGTAGAAAATACCAGATATATACACACATCTATACTTATTTGTATTTACCCATGCCACTATTACGTCCATTATTGAAAAGACTTTGGTGCTAACAGTATACAGAGTATTGGAAGAATAGGAAAATTTCTAGCTAAAATTATTAGTAATGTCTTTAACTTTTGAATCTTTACAATACCTCATTTAAAAAAACAATTAAGGTTCGAGAAGCAAATCGCAAAATTCAAACATATATTTCTCATTTGGCCATTCTTTCTTTTACATCGCGCACGCAAAGTACTTCTCCCTGAAAGAACAAAGCAAACAAACAAAATCAGTTCTTCTTAAAACGCACCCCCAAAGACGGACAAAATCAGTTCTTCCAATTTCAATAAACAGAAAGGGGCTTTTCACAATTTGGTGAGTTCAATACATTCAACATACGCAAGTTTTATTGCATCACTTGGATTAATTAAGCATGGTAAACCTTTTACTGACGGTGAAGTTTTTAAAGAAATTTTTCTTGACTGTTCTGAAAAGTTGTTTTCCGATTTTCAAAACGAAAAAGAAATCCTGAGTAAAATAAAAGAAATGCCTTTATCTGTTCGAACCGTACAACGCCGTGTTACTGATATGTCAAAGGATATTACTAATCAGCTACAAAATGATTTATTGATGAGCGAAGTTGTTAGTTTGTCTGTGGATGAAAGTACTGACATAAATAACGTTGC